TCTATGCCTGCAGGTGTTCTATTCATCCCCAGATAATTGCCCTTTTACATCCTGGTAATGTGATATGAAGAGATGTTTATCTTGTCTTTTTGCTTGTGGTACTGGAAAAAGAAAGATTTATCTGAGGATCGGATCATTGGAAGTTTTTATTCTGCATTCTGGAGAGTTTTCTAAATGATTCTTTTCAATGTTTTATTTATTTTTTTGAAATTTGTATTATTGTTTTTAAAATTTGTATGTATGTTAAATTAATTTTTTTAAAACAAGCAAAATATCAAAATATTTTGAAAAATTGAAAAAAAAAAAGACGGTGTTGGTTGATTTTGCGCCTTTTTCAAATAATGCGCCCATGGCTCTCGCCATACCTGCCATACCCTAGATACGCCACTAAGAGTGATTTAATAAGAATGAGTCCCAGGGATGAACACTGGGTCACCCCTACATTAGTTGCTGATTCAATAAAAGTGCCATTAAAGTTAAAACAGACGTGATGATTCTTTCAATAGTCAAAGATTACTGCCAGCACCGAGTCGCCGAGACCATTAAGCTTTTGTTTAAGAATATGTCACTTTGCAGAGTTGGATGCATTTTTGATGTTGCATGGCGACGCCTACTGTGTGTTTGACCTCCTGTTTTGCAAGTTAAGAGCATCGTCCGCTCTAGTACTTCCTCTCCTGAAGCCAAATTGGTTTGGGTGTAATTTGGTTTTACTTTCCAAGAAGTAGATTAGTCTTTCAGTGATTAGTTTATCTAGAATTTTACCCCAGGTAGAGAGCAGCGAGATTTGACGGAAACTCTGGGGGAAGCGAGGGTCTTTACCTTGTTTAGGTCTTAAACAAATAGATGCAGATTTCCAAGGTTCTGGGAAAGAACCCAATTGTAAACATTTGTTGAGCACAACCCTGATCCAGTTGTTTGTTACAATAATATAAGTCCCTGTACACCTCAGGACCCGGAGACTTGTTGGATTTGATGTTTCTGATGACGAGTTCGATCTCAGCATAAATAAAAGGGGATCACCAATGCCTTCTAGGTGAATCTGAGCGGTGTCATCCTGTATCATGGGAAAATGATAGTTAAGTATATTAGTGATTGAACAGCTCAATGAAACATTTTATACACAGTTATAAAATTCGTTTACCCAAAGACTATTCTATGCAAAAACAAGCCTTAAGTAATTATTTATCATTTATTATTATTTTTGTGAAAACATTTCAAAAAATTTTGAATTTTAAGATATATAATTTTAAATAAATAAAAAATACCTGCCAACTTTTAATCCTTTCCATTATAATTTTTCCCAGTGGTATTAAAATAAAATTAAAACTTCAATTTTAAGCAAACAAATACGTTGTATTTGAGAAAACTTAAGTTGACAACCATGATAGTAACGCATATTAATATATGCGCTTAATTTTTGTAAGAATAGTGGTGATCAAAATCATTAAAAAATTAAAATTATAAAAGAAAAAATATTATATATTTACTACCACTTTAAATATGAAAATAAAATCATCCGGAAGAGTTGGCAGGTATGCTAAAGCTAAACAGAAAAAAATGGAGCCTTGGTGGCTCAAGCTGTAGAGCATTCGCCTCTCAATAATTGAACTAGGTTCGGATCCCCTGGTTGATGCGAATTTCACGATCGGCTCGCACCGACCATCCTACTGACAAAAAATATCCTCAGTTGGAGACCCCATGCCATGGGGCTAACTGTTGGATGTTTTCATGGTTTTCCTTTTTTGTAACGCAAATGCTAGTTACTTCCATTAAAAAGTCCACGAACGCTAGTTTGTCTCAATGTTTAATTCAGGAGTTCCATTATTTTCTGGGTTGGACTCAAAATTACAGGGCTACGCAGTCGAAAATTTAGAATCGGGTCAGC